CAAAGAAAATTAAAGACGTGAGTTTTTTAAAAAATATTTTTCAAAGAAAATTAAAGACGTGGATTTTTTAAAAAATATTTTTCAAAGAAAATTAAAGACGTGGATTTTTTAAAAAATATTTTTCAAAGAAAATTAAAGACGTGGATTTTTTAAAAAATATTTTTCAAAGAAAATTAAAGACGTGGATTTTTTAAAAAATATTTTTCAAAGAAAATTAAAGACGTGGATTTTTTAAAAAAATATTTTTCAAAGAAAATTAAAGACGTGGATTTTTTAAAAAATATTTTTCAAAGAAAATTAAAGACGTGGATTTTTAAAAAAATATTTTTCAAAGAAAATTAAAGACGTGGATTTTTTAAAAAATATTTTTCAAAGAAAATTAAAGACTTGGATTTTTTAAAAAAATATTTTTCAAAGAAAATTAAAGACGTGGATTTTTTAAAAAATATTTTTCAAAGAAAATTAAAGACGTGGATTTTTAAAAAAATATTTTTCAAAGAAAATTAAAGACGTGGATTTTTTAAAAAAATATTTTTCAAAGAAAATTAAAGACGTGGATTTTTTAAAAAATATTTTTCAAAGAAAATTAAAGACGTGGATTTTTAAAAAAATATTTTTCAAAGAAAATTAAAGACGTGGATTTTTTAAAAAAATATTTTTCAAAGAAAATTAAAGACGTGGATTTTTAAAAAATATTTTTCAAAGAAAATTAAAGACGTGGATTTTTAAAAAAATATTTTTCAAAGAAAATTAAAGACGTGGATTTTTTAAAAAATATTTTTCAAAGAAAATTAAAGACGTGGATTTTTAAAAAAATATTTTTCAAAGAAAATTAAAGACGTGGATTTTTAAAAAAATATTTTTCAAAGAAAATTAAAGACGTGGATTTTTTAAAAAATATTTTTTTAAGGAAAGCAACTCATTCTCATTTAGTTTGATGTGAGAAAAGGCATACAAATACTAAAAAACAATTTTTATTAAAAAAAATATATTTTAAAATAAATATTTCCATTTATTTTTTAAAAAATTATTGAAAAATATTTTTTTCTAGAAAAAATGTATTTTAATTTTTTTTAATAAAAAAAAATATAAAATCATAAAACCATTGTTTTTGGGGCATAAAAAATCAGTTTTTGTTCCGTTACAAAAAGAAAACTGTTTAAACCGCAACATTGTCTATTATTATTTTTTTTCTTTGCCAACAACAATGACAACAAACAATAGCATACAATGCCATTGTAACTTTGTTTCCCTCCATGTATGTCTGTGTTTGTGTTTCTGCATCCCTATCTCACTTGGCAAATTGCAGCCAAGTAAAAGTCTTGCGGAACCATCAGATGGTCAAACGAAGAAAATGTAAAAAAAACAAATGTCCAGCATTTTTTCCTACTTCATCATCATAGCATTGCTTTGCTTGCTGTTCATATCACTGTCATTTTGCTAGCCTTCCGGCAATATTTTCTTTTTGAACTTTTGCTAGATTTTTTGCCCTCTTGCGAGCTGCTCACAATTGTGGTCAGTAGTTGTTGCAACAAGAACATGAGGAAGAGAACAACTTCAGTATCCGTGGCCTTTGGAGCAGAACAATGGAATATCTTGACACTTGAGAGTTCAGACAAAGGGGTCAATTGCAAATAACAAGGAAAATATTTGAAGTAGAGGTTATAAATTTTGCAAATATTCAAAGGAAAATATAGGAGGCAACAAAAACTTAAATTTAAGAGTGTATAAAATTGTTTTAATATTTAAAAAATTGTCAAGATATATCCACGAATATATATATATATATATATATATATATATATATATATATATATATATATATATTGATTTAAATATATACTTTTATTTTTTTTATTAATTATTATTATTATTATATTATTATTATTATTATTATTATTATTATTATTATTATTATTATTATTATTATTATTATTATTATTATTATTATTATTATTATTATTATTATTAATTTTATTAATATTATTATTATTTTATTATTATTATTATTATTATTATTATTATTATTATTATTATTATTATTATTATTATTATTATTATTATTATTATTATTATTATTATTATTACTATTATTATTATTATTATTATTATTATTATTATTATTATTATTATTATTATTATTATTATTATTATTATTATTATTATTATTATTATTATTATTATTATTTTTTTTTTTTTTTTTTGAAAATCAATTTCCACACTTTTGAAAATTTTCGGATTAACATTTAAGCGGACTTTTAAAACATTGAATGAAAAACATGGCAAAAACGAAAATAAATCTTGATTTTGCAGTTATCCTTCCATGGGGAGCTATTACAAAAAGTGGATCGATATGATCCATTTTCTACACCAATGATTCTGGATGGAATCCAAAGATCTCTAATAAATTTCAAATAAATTAAAATAATTATAGAGACATTTCAAGAAAATTTGCTTCAGCTTCTTCGAAAAAATTTGCCGATGTATTACTCAATTAATTATTTAATAAATTTTGCTTTTAAAAACATTTTTAGACAGCATTCATCTTTAAAAATGTTGAAATAAATTTTAAATATCATTAAAATATTACATTTTAATTTTCTCTTTAACAATATCTTCATACGATTTCGCATAGCTCTGTTTTAAACTAATATTTGTAAATTCTCTTAATTCTTCCTCTCCTTCCTCTCTGTCTCTGAGAGATATATTTTATTTGAACTCCCTCTTTAATGGTGAGATGAGAACACACATAAATAACAAATGAAAACAAATGGACTATCATCAAGTTTGTTACTTAAGTCTAATTGAGAGTAAAACTCATATTGCCCTTGCCGTTACTGTGAGATGAGAATAACCGTTCTAATGAGCAGCTCGACTCATTTCAATGAGAAATCTCTTCTAAAATCACAGTTTCTCTTTAGAACTCGGCATTTAACAAAATCGAGTATGTTTCTTAAGTCTTTTGTATTTTTAGAGGGTTAATTCCTTATTTCTCACAATTTCAAGGGAAAATAGAGTTTTTGTCGGAATTAAAATATTTTTAGATTAAGAACGAAAACAAATTATTGAAAATATTGAAAAAAATAAAAATAAAAAATATTCTATAGACCAGTCTTTCTTTTGAGACATGATTTTTCAGACCTATTTTTACAATTTAGAGGTAAATTACAATAGTTTTTGTCAGAATTATTAGAATAATATTTTCTTTTCGGACACATTTTTTCAGATTTTTTTTATTTTCTTCAGTTTGCAATGGGATTTATTTCTTACATTTGAATATGTAGCCGATCATTTTCATAAGATATTATTATAATGTTATTTTCTTCATATATGTATACATATATCATTCCTCCTCCTATATCATTGCCCTTATTATGTTCAACAAAATGCCGGCAATTATACGCAAGAATAGCGTAACAAAATTGTAACCCGTTCCCATCTAAAGCTTATCAAATTACAAGCTCTACATAAATGTAAAACAATCAGCCGCGGATAGCTTATAACAGACATAGATACACAGATTTTTGTGAGTTTGTGTGTATTTTCATATAATGATTATGATGATGACTTTTTCCTAGAATTGTTTTAAAAAAAAAAATTAGACACTTAGGCGTACATTTATTGCCTCTCGCCCGTTTTGCCATATTGAAATGAGCTCTGGTTATCTGTAAAAATTACTGTAGCATAAAATAGTTTATGCTTGAGTTCGAAAGCTAATTTTTTTTTTCAATTTTCTTGTGATTGAAATGCGATTTTTTTCCTATTGTATTTAAATAGAATTTTGTTAAATGTAATGGGAGTAAAGATCAAAGAAAAATGTAGGCGAAAAACGGTTAAGGGGTGAAGAGAAAAATATTAGACTTGGAGTAAATAATTAATAGAAATTGAAAAAAGTAGGAAAATATCAAATCAAAAAAAAATAAAAAATAAATCCAAAAAAAAACTTCAAAAAATAAAAAAAAATAAAGATCTAAAATGTATGTTTCTCTTAGAAAAGAGGAAATTATCCCATACTCTCTCTTTATGTAATTCCTATATTATTATTCTCTTCTGTTCAACTTCCATCTCTGTCTGTCTATCATTTGAGAGAGAGAGAGTAAAAAAATTGGAATTCGAATGAAAAATAAATTGAATTTAAAAAATAAAATAAAAAACAAATAGGAAATAAAATATTCACAAAAATTGTCCAAAAAATCGACAAAAAATGTTTAAAAATCCTAAAATGTATATCTCTCTTAGAAAAGAGAAAATTATCTCATATTCTCTCTTTATGTAATTCCCATATTATTATTCTCTTCTGTTAAACTTCCATCTCTCTCTCTATTACATTTGAGAAACGGTTAAAGTGTAACAAAATTAGACTTCGAATGAAAAAAAAGAATTAAAAAATTACAAAAATAAAAATCAAAAACAAATCAAAAAAATCAAAAATAAATAAAAAAAAGGATTAAAATATGTGTTTCTCTTATAAAAGAGAAAACTATCTCATAAAATGTCAAAAAAAAAAATCTTAAAATATGTGTTTCTCTTAGAAAAGAGAAAATTATCTCATTAAATGTCAAAAAAATCTTAAAATATGTGTCTCTCTTAGAAAAGAGAAAATTATCTCATATTCTCTCTTTTTGTAATTCCCATATTTTTATTCTCTTCTGTTAAACTTCCATCTCTCTCTATTTCATTTGAGAAACGGTTAAAGTGTAAAAAATTAGACTTCGAATGAAAAAGGAAAAAAAATTAAAAAAAATAAAATGTTAAAAAAAAATCAAAAAAATTAAAAAAATATTAAAATATGTGTTTCTCTTAGAAAAGAGAAAATTATCTCATAGAGAGAGAGCTCTTTATTTAATTTGTTATTTTATTATTATTCTCTTCTATTAAACTCCCATCTCTCTCTTGTCTCTCTCTGTATCTCATTTGAATTTCTATATCATTATTATTCTCTCAAAATAAAAACTCTCTTCTAATCACAATTCCCTCTTCTCTCCCTCTCTCACTTTTAGATGCGACTGAATTCTTCCAAACATCATAATCACCAACAAAAGAAAGATCACCGCCACAGAATCACCAGCAACATCATGAGTCTCAGCACCAGTACCACTACCAGTATTGTCATAGCCACATGCCTCCTGCTCGTAGCCCTACCCTCACCTGCCGCTGGCCGCATGGCTTTTGAAAAGCTCACAGATTATGATTTTGCCGGCACCACCTACTACAGCGTTAAGAACCTCTCACTCTACGAATGTCAGGGATGGTGTCGCGAAGAGGCCGACTGTCAAGCTGCTGCCTTTAGTTTTGTCGTCAATCCCCTGTCTCCGTCGCAGGAGACTCACTGCCAACTGCAAAATGATTCCTCGGCCCACAATCCCTCGGCTGCTCCTCAGCGTTCGGCCAACATGTACTACATGGTCAAACTGCAACTGCGCAGTGAAAATGTCTGCCATCGGCCATGGTCCTTCGAGCGTGTACCCAACAAGGTCATTCGTGGCAATGACAATGCCCTCATCTATACCAGCACCAAGGAAGCTTGTCTCTCGGCCTGTTTGAATGAGAAACGTTTTGTGTGCCGCTCTGTGGAATACGATTACAACAGCATGAAATGTGTTCTCTCCGATGCGGACAGACGTAGTGGTGGACAATTTGTACAATTGGCCGATGCCCAGGGCACGGATTATTTTGAGAATTTATGTTTGAAACCCCAACAGGCCTGTAAATCCACCCGATCCTTTGCCAATGCCCGTGTGGGTGTTTCGGAAGAAAAGGTGGCCCAATATGTTGGCCTCCACTACTACACCGACAAGGAATTGCAAGTCACCTCGGAATCAGCCTGTCGCCTGGCCTGTGAAATTGAATCGGAATTTTTGTGCCGTTCCTTTTTGTATCTCGGTCAGCCCCAGGGAGCCCAATACAACTGCCGCCTATACCACTTGGATCACAAGACTCTGCCCGACGGACCCTCAACCTATTTGAATCATGAACGTCCCTTGATCGATCATGGCGAACCAATTGGTCAATATTTTGAAAATATTTGCGATAAATCGGCTGCTTCGTCTATTTCCACAAGTCCCGGACCCTTGGATCAATTGGATCAACAGGCACCTTTGTTGGGAGTTGAGGAAGATCCTACCTTGAATATTACCAGGAATGATGTGAACTGCGATAAGACCGGTACCTGTTATGATGGTGAGTAGAAGGGGGAAGAGGGGCCCAGAAACTCAAATTTTTAAACAAAAATAAACACCATGAGGTCCATGACTTTTTTTCTACAGAATTGTGGTGGACCTTAAAAAATCGGAGAATTTTTTTCTATCGAAAAAAAACTTGGAGCCTGAGTTCTGAAACTTTTTTCTATCGAAAAAACTTACGACCCTGAAGTCGGCGATTTTTTTCTAATGAAAAAATTTAAAACCTAGGTTCGGCGAAATTTTTTCTATCGGAAAAACTTGCAACCCTGAGTTCAGCGATTTTTTTTATTGAAAAAACTTACGACCCTAAGGGCGGTGAATTTTTTTCTATCGAAAAAACTTACGACCCTGTGGTCGGCGAATTTCTTTCTATCGAAAAAACTTGCGACCCTGTGGTCGGCGAATTTCTTTCTATCGAAAAAAATTGCGACCCTGTGGTCGGCGAATTTTTTTCTATCGAAAAAACTTGCGACCCTGTGGTCGGCGAATTTTTTTCTATCGAAAAAACTTGCGACCCTGTGGTCGGCGAATTTTTTTCTATCGAAAAAACTTGCGACCCTGTGGTCGGCGAATTTTTTTCTATCGAAAAAACTTGCGACCCTGTGGTCGGCGAATTTTTTTCTATCGAAAAAACTTGCGACCCTGTGGTCGGCGAATTTTTTTCTATCGAAAAAACTTGCGACCCTGTGGTCGGCGAATTTTTTTCTATCGAAAAAACTTGCGACCCTGTGGTCGGCGAATTTTTTTCTATCGAAAAAACTTGCGACCCTGTGGTCGCTGAATTTTTTTCTATAGAAAAAACTTGCGCCCTGTGGTCGGTGAATTTTTTTCTATAGAAAAAACTTGCGCCCTGTGGTCGGTGAATTTTTTTCTATAGAAAAAACTTGCGACCCTGTGGTCGGTGAATTTTTTTCTATCGAAAAAACTTGCGACCCTAGGGTCGGTGAATTTTTTCATATAGGAAAAATCTTGCGAACATGTGGTCGGCGAATTTTTTTTCTATAGAAAAAACTTGCGACCCTGAGGACGGCGAATTTTTTTCTATAGAAAAAACTGGCGACCCCAGGGTCGGCGATTTTCTTTTTCTATCGAAAAAACCTTGCGAACCTGAAGTCGCCGAAAAATTTTGCCCCGAGATCGGCGATTTTTTATTTTTTTTTACAATTTTTTAATTTGATTTTTTTTGCTCCTCTTTAGTCTCCGTCCACTGCAAGGATACCCGCATTGCTGTCCAGGTCCGCACCAACAAACCCTTCAATGGCCGTATCTATGCTTTGGGCCGTTCCGAGACCTGTAACATTGATGTCATCAATTCGGATTCCTTCCGCTTGGATTTGACCATGGCTGGCCAGGATTGTAATACACAGAGTGTGGTAAGTTCGGAATTCAAAATTAAGAAAAGGGAACCCTTTCAAATAATTTTTGAAAATTTTAGACCGGTGTCTACTCCAATACCGTGGTCCTGCAACACCACAGCGTGGTCATGACCAAGGCCGATAAAATCTACAAAGTCAAGTGTACGTATGACATGAGCTCCAAGAACATTACCTTCGGTATGATGCCCATCCGTGATCCGGAAATGATCCATATCAATTCCTCGCCTGAGGCTCCACCACCAAGAATTCGTATTTTGGATACCCGTCAACGTGAGGTGGAGACAGTGCGCATTGGTGATCGTTTGAACTTCCGTATTGAGATTCCAGAAGACAGTAAGTGAAGGGGGAGGGGGGATGGGTTTTATTTAAAGGGGAGGATATTAATTTTTTTTCGAATTTTTTTGTCGTTAAAGCTCCCTATGGCATTTTTGCCCGTTCCTGTGTGGCCATGGCCAAGGATGCCCGCACCAGCTTTAAAATCATTGATGATGATGGCTGTCCCACCGATCCCACAATCTTCCCCGGCTTCACGGCCGATGGCAATGCCCTGCAGTCCACCTATGAGGCCTTTAGATTTACCGAAAGCTATGGTGTCATCTTCCAGTGTAATGTGAAATACTGCCTGGGTCCCTGTGAGCCGGCCGTGTGCGAATGGAACATGGAATCGTTTGAGAGCTTGGGCAGAAGACGTCGTCGTTCCGTGGAGAGGTGAGGAGGATTTGTAGATGGTTTTTAGAATTTTTTATAATTTTTTTTCGATTTTCTTTGCCCCACCAGCAATGAAACCAAGGAAGCCGATGAGGACATGAACATTTCCCAGGAGATTTTGGTCTTGGACTTTGGTGATGAGAAACGTGAATTCTTCAAATCCGATCCCAGCACAGACTTTGCTAAAGGTATGAATTGAGAGCCACCCGGGGTAACCCTCTCAAAGGACCCTATGCTAATAACCAAAAAAAAAAAAAAAAAAACATTTTCTATTCCTTTTTTCCATTTTTTTTTTATTTATTTATAGATAAGACTGTCACTATCATTGAACCCTGCCCCACTAAAACTTCCGTCTTGGCCTTGGCCGTAACCTGTGCTCTCATGATCTTATTGTATATTTCCACCTTGTTTGTGTACTATATGAAAAAATGGATGCAACCCCATAAAATTGTAGCATAAGACCAACAACAACAACAATTACAACAACACCAATCAACCAACCACCACCTAGTGAAAGTAAAACTAATGACAACAACACAGCAATAATCAATCACCCATACAGACACACACACACACGCATAACCAAGCAATCACACAGACACAAACAAACACACATGCAAACGTGAAAAATGCAAAAATACGAAAAATCCTAAATATTACGGTAATTAGTGTTTAAAGAACAAAAAATAACAACAACAACAACAAAAAACTGAGTAAAAAAATTAGAAAAAAATACTTGGTTTTTTGGAAAACAAAAAAATTATGTCTAGTTAAGTAAGCTTTTTTATAAATTTTATTATAAAACCAGCAAAAGGTTTGGAAAAAAAAAACCGAAACCTAAAACTTAAGCCTATGCGATGCAAGAAAAAAACAAATTATTTTATAAAACTAAAAAATCCTAGTTAGAAAGCTTTGTTGGCTGCAGCATGAAAAAAAGCTCAAAAGCTTTCGGCTATCTATTTATTATCTATTAAAAAAAAATACTTTCTATTTTACTATTTCTTTTGGAAAATAAGCTATAAAATAAGATTTTAAAACCGATTTTCAAAAAGCTTTTAGGAAAGCTTGGAAGTCTTTGACATACAAATGAAAAGCTTTGGAGGTATTAAAAAAACAAATATTTAAAAAAAAAATTCAAAATTAGTTTATAATACAAAAATTTGTCATAAATCATGGGGAAATTAAGCAAATTTTACCAAAAAAGCTTAAAGCTCTAGAGGCAGATTTTTATGTTAATAGCTTCAAGTATTAGAGAAATTTTAAAAAAGTGGAAATTAGTTTCATAATACAATTTTAAACATATAATTTTGCAAAGGGATTAAAATATTTAAAAAAAGCTCAAAAAATAGTGATTTCCTCAAAAGCTTTGGAAACTTTAAAATCGACTTTAAAACAGTTAGACAACCATTTTGGAATGAGTTGTTAATTAAATAAAAAAAACGTAAATTAGATCCATAAAACAATTTTAAACAATTAATTTTGAAAAGGGATTAAAATACCAAAAAAAGCTCAAAAAATAGTGTTTTCCTCAAAAGCTTTGAAAACTTTAAAATCGACTAAAAAACAGTTAAACAACCATTTTGAAATAAGTTTTTAATTAAATTATTTTGGAACTTTAAAACTGTTAGACAACCATTTTGAAATGAGTTTTCAATAAAATTACTTCAAAATTAACTTTAGAAGGATTATAAGATTAAAAAGCTTTATTTCCTTCAAAAGCTCCGTAGTGTGGAAACTACAAAAGTAGATCAAATATTATAGAAATTAAAAAAAAAAAAACTGCAAATTAGTTTCATAAAACAATTTTAAACAATTAACTTTGCAAAGGGATTAAATACTTAAAAAATTCAAAATAGCTTTATTTTCCCTAAAAGCTTTGGAAACTTTAAAATCGACTTTAAAACAGTTAAACAACCATTTTGAAATGAGTTTTTAATGAAATTACTTCAAAATTCACTTTAGAGGGGCTATGAGATTAAAAAGCTTTATTTTCTACAAAAGCTCCGTAGTGGGGAAAACACAAAATAAAGATATTGCGATTTAATTTTTTAATTGATTTTGTAAGGTATTTTGAATTTTTTACTGATTTTTTTAAAATGCAAAAAAGCTTTCCAAAAGCTCTTTAGGAAAACATTCAAATAATAACGTTGATTTGACGCAGCTAATTTGATTTGTAAGTCATTTTTAATTTTTTGTAGAGTATTCGGAATTTTTACTGATTTTTTTTTAATTTAAAAAAGCTTTCAAAAAGCTCTCCAGAAAAACATTCAAATAAAAATGTTGATTTGACACAGATAGTTCGTTTTGTAAGTCATTTTTTAATTTTTTCCTAATTTTTTTTCAAAAAGTCAAAAAAGCTTTGCAAAAGCTCTACAGGAAAACCTTCAAAAATGACGATGACATGAGAAAACATTCAAATAATAACGTTGATTTGATACAGATAATTCGTTTAGTAAATCATTTTTAATTTTTTGCTGAATTTGTCCTAAAAGTTCAAAAAGCTTTTGCAAAAGCTCTACAAGAAAACATTCAACATTCGCGATTATACGAGGCAAATTAGGGGTCTTGGTCGGCAATTTTTTACTGATTTTATTTTACTGAACAAAAGTTTGAAAAAAGCTTTACAAAAGCTCTATAAGAAAAAAATTAATTAGTCACGATAATATGATTCAAATAATTTAGAGCAGATTTTCTCTTAAAATGTAAAATTGGCATTTTCGATTTTTTAGGATTTTTTACAGAAATTCAAAAAAGCTTTGCAAAAGCTCTCTCAATAATTATTTCAAAAATTAAAAATTTCAATTACAAAATTCTAATACTTCCAACGCGAATTTTGTTTGAAAACTAAATTTAAAATAAAGTTTTGTCATAAAAATTTCATCATAAAAATTATAACTTTTCAATGCAATTCTATACTTTGAAATAATTTGCACAACTTCCGGAAAGCTTTTTGAAAGCTCATGGGCAATTTCTTTTAAAAACTTCAGACATATAGACATTTTTTAATTAAATTCTTATGTTTGAATATTTTTGAGAATGTTTTGATTTAAAAAAAAATCGCAAAAGCTTTGCTGATAAAAGCTTTTCAAAATTCGTGATTGCAAAAAATCGCGATAATTATTTCTTTAAAATACTTGATAATTTTAGTTTTTGTAATGATTTTTCCCCCAAAATTAAAAAAAAAAAACTAAAAAATCCTCAAAAGCTTTGCTGATAAAAGCTTTTTAAAATTCGTGGTTGCAAAAAATAAACACTTCTAAAGATTTTTCTTTCAGAAAAAATGCAAAATTGTATAGTTTTCCAATTTTTGTAAAAGCTTTAGGTTCTCTTCAAAGCTTTTCATCAAGATTTTAAAGCTTTTCTTATTGTTTAAATACTTCCAAAAAATACCGATATTATTAAATAACTCGACAATTTTAGTAGGTGTAGTTATATATTTCTTTTTAAATTTTCCAAAAAAAAACTTTGTAAAAGTTTCATGGATAAAAGCTTTCCAATGTTCGTGATTTCAAAAAATAATCATTTCTTAAGAGTTTTTTTTCAGAAAAAAATGAAATAATGTATTTATTTCATTTTGAAAGCTTTTATTTTTCTACAAAGTTTTTTTTTGGGTCATCAAAGCTTTTTTTGAGGTTTTAAAGCTTTTTTGAGATTTTAAAGCTTTTTTGAGGTTTCAATGCTTTTTTCTTGTTAAAATACTTCCAAGCCCTCCTGGCTTTTTTGAAAATTATCTAAAATCTTGTTTTATTTCACAAACAAAAACTCAAAACTTTATCTAGCTTTTTGTCCACAAAAAGCTGGCTAAAGTTTCCTCTCAAAACAGGCCTTTAAAAATTTAACTTTAAAAACGAAACTTACTGCCTATTTAAATAATCACTTTCTATGAAGTTTTAAAATTCAAAATCAAGTTTTTTCATAATCATTTAAGAAAATAAATAAAACAAATAAAAATTCTAAAACTTCCATAGAGACTGGTTAAAATTTTCATATTTTCCTATGACAACAAACACAACACAAACTATTTATTTTACGACTATTTATTTAATGACTTTTAAGACTCCTAATTTATAAAAAAAACACACTCACTCAAAGACATAAAACTATAAAATTTATATGGTATTTATTATTAATTTTTTTATGATAATTAATTTATGTTTGTCAAGAATAAAAAAATGTTTAATGAACGAAAAAAAATTGTGCTTAATTTTTATTGCATTTAAAAATAAAATGAAAAGAAATAAAATTATCAAATTTTTAGAATTAAGTAACAAATTAAATTAACACAAAATTAATAATAAAAAACACTAAAATTTGCAGCATTTATATAGCAGAAATTTCCAATTTAAGTTAAAAAAAAATATTTTATTTTTTTCTATTTAAATAAATTTAATTTTTAGTTATTGTAAATAAGAAGAAGAATTTTGTGCAAATAAAACAAAAAAAAATATTAATAATAATAACAATGATTCTAAAACAAAAACAAAATATTTGTATTTGTTTTTCAATAAATTAAAATAAAAAATATATATTTTGTAATAATTATAATTAAAAAATGCATTTAAAAATCTTTTCTAAATAAAAATTACATAAAAATCCAAAAAAAAAGAATATTGAGTTTTATTTAAATTAAAAAATATTCTAGTTTCTGCATGCAAAAAATAATAGAATTCTTTTTTTAATTTTTATAGGAGGATTTTTTTCTATAAAAAAAATTTTATGAGAATATTTTTCTATAAAATATATTTTTTGAAAAAAAAAAGTTTTTAAATATTTTTTACGATTTTTATATACAAAATTCTTTTCTGAGGATTTTTTTTATAAAAAATATCTTTTAACTATATTTTTCTACAAAAAATATTTAAGAATTTTTTTTTATAAATTATTTTGAACGATTTTTATATAGAAAATACTTATCTGTTTTTTTTTTTCTTTAAAAAATATTTTTGAGATTTTTTTTTATAAAAAATATTTTCTGAAAAAAATTATAAAATATTTTTTTAAGGAAATTCTTGTCTGAGATTTTTTTCTACAAAAAATATTTAAGGAATTTTTTTTTATAAAATATTTTGCACGATTTTTATATAGGAAATTCTTATCTGAGGATTTTTCTTCCTTAAAAAATATTTTTGAGGATATTTTTTTTTAAAAAATATTTTATGAAAAAAAATTTTTAATAAAATATTTTTTTTTTAATTTTTAATTTTTTAAGGAAATTCTTGTCTGAGATTTTTTTTCTACAAAAAATATTTAAGGAAATTTTTTTAATAAAATATTTTGCACGATTTTTATATAAAAAATTCTTATCTGAGGATTTTTTTCTTTAAAAAATATTTTTGAGGATATTTTTTTATAAAAAATTTTTCTGAAAAAAAAATTTATAAAATATGTTTTATTTTTAATTTTTTTAAGAAAATTCTTGTCTGAGATTTTTTTTCTACAAAAAATATTTAAGTAAATTTTTTAAAAAAAAATTTGCACGATTTTTATATAGAAAATTTATATCTGAGGATTTTTTTCTTTAAAAAATATTTTTGAGGATATTTTTTTATAAAAAAAACATTTTCTGAAAAAAATAAATTTTATTAAATATTTTTTTTTTTTAATTTATAATTTTTTTTAAGGAAATTCTTGTCTGAGATTTTTTTTCTAAAAAAAAAATATTTAAGGAATTTTTTTTTATAAAATATTTTGCGCGATTTTTATATAGGAAATT